TGTGTGTGTGTGTGTGTGTGTGTGTGTGTGTGTGTGTGTGTGTGTGTATGTGTGTGTGTGTGTGTGTGTGTGTGTGTGTGTGTGGTGGTGGAGGGGAGCGTGAGCAGCAGAGCAATCTGAGAATGATTAGACCCTTGATAGTGATTAGTGAGACTTATGAATATGTATATATATATTTTCTTATCAAGGACTTCATATTTCAGCAGCTTTTAGTCGTTCAACTTCTCTGCGAGTTTCAAGTTTGTCACAGTGAGAATTCAGCCGCAGCACAGATTCTATACTGCATGTATCTGATATGGAGTTTCTCTTGTGTTGTACAACAATGCTGCATTGTTCTAACGTGTGCCTCCGTCATATGTTCTAAGCAGTAAGTGTTGATGACGCTGCGTTATTCTATTTCATCTCACATTGGTCTTTGTTGTAGTGCTTTAACCATGTGCTGTTTCCATGACCTCATTTCTCAACATGGAGTCTTTTAAAGGGGACATACCATGAAAAGAATCCACACATTGTGCTCACACATTTGGGTATCTGGAGTCCCTGTCGACCCACAAACCGTGAAGTCAGTTATATTTTTAGTGGGCTGTCTAGATCAGGAATGATGTGATTCAACAAGCCGATCAGATGTAGCTCCGCTTCCTATGTCACATGTCGACTCATGGTCTCAATCTCTAGTTTCAAGTCTTCTTCAATACAGCATGATGTTCATTGAGTACATTATGGTCCATTTAGAGTCAAACAGACCATAAAGCAGGGGATGCTTTAGGGCGGGGCTACACAGTGATTGACAGGTCTCTACCAGAGACGTATACGGCGTCTCTACGTCACTCCTCCTCAGTCCAGATATGGTAACTTCCTGTTCACTGGTTGTGAAAAAAACAACATGGCGATGGGCGTAATTAAAGATGGCGACAGAAAAATCGCCGAACTCGAGTCTTCAAAGCATCAGTCCATAAACTAATGGGTGCCGTCATGATGACCACGTCCTCTTCTTATAAACAGTCTGTGGTTGGTAGAGGTGTATTCAGACGGACAGAATGAGTTAAATGTTTCTTGAACATTAAAGCACGTAAACATGTTCCAGTAGAAACCTTAAACATAAGTCTGAACCTGATGTTTCATCTCGTGTTAATGAACTGAAATGATCTTTATTTTTAAATTCAACCCAGGATGCCATCCGTCATGTGACGCCTGCAGTGGCTCGGGGCCTCACGCCTGTACTTCCTGCACCGCCGACAGCCTCCTGCTGCCCTCGGGTCTCTGTGGTCCCAAATGTACCCCTGGTTACTACGACAATGGCCACAGGATCTGTCAGGGTAAGTGAAGGGGGGGGGGGGGGGGGGGTGACCTGAAAGATAACACACCGAAAGAACTAAAGACGCCTACTGCTGTACGTGCAATCCAGCAGCTCCGAGATTACATCCGAGACCCCTAATGATTTACAGGGCGTGGACAAAATAACAAGAACACTAGATAGTACAGCAGTTGTAGTAAATGCCAGGTCATCTGTGAGGTGTTGATTCATCATTTTCATAGTGAATATTAAAGTATATACGTGTGTCCTGTTCATGCGTAGTACGTATGTTTGCAGTGTTCGTGACTGACACACCTGCAGCTGAAGCAGAAACTCTCCGTAGTGTTTGTGCTCCTTTAAGTCACCTTGATAACACAGAATAGACTGTAAAGCATGTATTCAAGCTCAGGCAGAGAGGATAAATAAACACAGTGGTAGACATGGTTACATGTGTCACAGTTGTTTTTAATCAAGAACGAGCTACTAGTTGATGAGAATATTTGGCAAATATTCACAAAAGACCCAACTTAACTTATTAAGAAATCCTTTCATGCACACAGAATGGATTATTTTAGCTTTCGTATGTGTAATATGTTGAGTTGTATATCCTGTTAACCAGAAGGTAAAGAAACAAAACCAAATCCAGTGATTCCACACATTCTTGTTGGATGTAATGCTAATAATACTCCTGTAGCTGCAGCCTGGAGGGCAGGTGGATCATTTGCAAACTCAAGTCAGAAATCATGACAACAAACGTGATGAAACGGAATGGTTTGATCCGGTCCTCGTACCTCACCTAAACCTCCGCGTGGACCCTCTTTTGTCTCCGGCAGCGTGCGACGGACAGTGCCTGACGTGCGACATGCCCGGAGTCTGTACGTCCTGCCGCGACCCGGCCAAGGTGCTGCTGTTCGGAGAATGCCAGTACGACAGCTGCGCCCACCAGTACTACCTCAACACCACGACCCGGGCCTGCAGAGGTACACGCGCACACACACACACTCACACACACACACACACACACTTCATGGTACATGGCGGGTGAGGGGGAATGCTGGATTATTAATAAGGATATCTAGTGTGCCCTTTATGATATTCATAAATTACTCTCCATCCATATTGCATGTGTGCTACATTGAGTTTATGGGCTCCATTGATCAAGTGATGAATTGTGAGACCAGATATGCAAAATCCTAAACAATGTGTGTGCATTTGAACTCAGCATTAAATCTCCCAGCGTTGATGAATGAGCCTCAGAGGATCCGGATTGAATAACTTGTCCTCTTATTTTCTCCTTCTGCAGCAGCTCTTGTTGCAGCAGCTCTTGTTGCAGCAGCTCTTGTTTAATTAGCCGCTAACCGGCCCAGACCTAAAACCCGACCACGCTGAACGTCACTCTGTTTTATCACCAGCTCACAAATAAGAAAATATCTTTCTCTTATCTCAAAGAGGAAGGACTGAGGTTCTGAAAGCGGACCATGTTGTCACACCGGCTTAACACAGATATCCACTTCAATTCACAGAAAGCCGTTTCATGTAAAGCTGAAACAGACTTCCCGCTTTATCAGCGATGTGTTCGGCGTAATGAGACTTTGCTCAGGTGCCCCCAGACCCCCCATGTCTAGCACGGGATTATAAACTCAAGATTACCACTCGAGGCGAGATGCACAGAGTGATTTCCTGTTAGCGGCGCCTCTCACCATCGACAGGTCGGGTTTTAGCCGTCCGGCCCGCGGCGACGCTGCGTTTATCCGCTCGAGCTGCAGCAGCAGCTACCTGGTTAATCCTGAACCCGGGATGAACCCACAGCGCTACGAGGCAGCACTCTCTGAAAACTAAAGCCGTCCCACAGGGGGAAAGTTCCCTGAGAGAAGCTGTTCTGCCAACAACCTACATTGGTTTTGGATTCATCACTGATCTTTCCCGAGGGAGGAACCCTCTAATTTACCTCTCGGCTCCTGTTGGATCCTCAGAAAGAATAAAGAAACCTCTGTGGAAGCCTCCACTTTATTCATCACAGTAGAGTCGAAGCTGTTCTACTCTCCCACCGTCGTGTGAGAAAAGTAAAATAAGATGTGTTGCTACTTCTCATGAAGGATTTAATAAAATATTGATAAAGAATGAAGATGAGAATGCTTCTGCACGTCTGCCAGCAGGAGAGAGATCCAACAGAATCTCCTCTTCAGGATTGGAGAATGAAAAACAGAGTTTGGGGTTTTATTTAACTGTTTGTGTAGTTTTCTTTTCCTCACCATCTGACTCAGAATAAACACTGCAGAGTTCACAAATAAGACCAATAATTAGTTGACTTAGTGTTACACTTATACGTTTATTCTGTAGAATATGAAATATAATATAATATAGAAGCCCCCTGGTTTCCTCTGTTGAGGCTGAGCGTGGCGTGATCTCTTCTTTGTTAAACCTTTTATATCTTTTAATACAAACCTAGAAGCTCACACAAACACACACAGTTTAATTTGTCCTAATTGTGTTTAATTCCCTCGTCAATATTAACGGAGCACAAACACAACAGATGTGAAGGTGATGAGAGAGAAAAGAGGAAAAAACAAAAGCACAAACAAATGGGTTTATAGAAATAATGAAATCTGTTTCTTTCTTCTGTTCTCAACTTCTAATCCCAACGCCCCTGCACACACACACACACACACACCACCTCCTCCTCCTCCTCTTCCTCCTCTTCCTCCTCCTCCAGAGTGTGACTGGAGCTGTAACGCCTGTCGAGGCCCTCTGCGGACCGACTGCCTGCAGTGCATGGAGGGACACGTGTTGCAGGACGGAGTGTGCACCCAGGGGTGCTCCGCTGGCTCCTATCAGGACGGAGACAAATGCCTCGGTCAGTCCTCATGGACCACATCACGCACAGAAGAAGAACAAATACGTGCAGCTGCAGTCTGCACGTATTTCTCCTTCTGTTCTCTATTATCTTTGTGCATTAGTGACCACTTGAAGTTTCTTTTTTAATCATCTATTAATTAAAACCATGAATCATTCCTTGAGAGACCCCTTTAAGATCTCAACTTAGTGTTTCTCTGAATCTTTCAACATGTGTTGGTTTGCTCCGGTCAACTTCTATTTAATAACTCAACAGCAATGAATTTAACACGTGCAAATATTCTACTAAATGTCAAATCAAACACAACCCACATGAAAACTATGAATGAAGCAAATGTGCACTTCTTTATGACTTTGAAGCCACAGCTTTGGTTTGTGTTTAATGCTCTGTGTGTGTGTGTGTGTGTGTGTGTGTGTGTGTGTGTGTGTGTGTGTGTGTGTGTGTGTGTGTGTGTGTGTACGTGTGCGTGTGTGTGTGTGTGTCTGTCTGCCAGGCTGTGATGATCACTGTGTGGAGTGTCGGGGTCCGGCTCAGTGCCAGCAGTGCCAGCCCCCCTACGCCGCCCTGCAGGGTCAGTGTGTGCTGGAATGTGGCAGAAACCACTTCCTGGACGCCTCCTCTCAAATCTGCAAACGTAAGACTTTGTTGAATGCAATCTATTTTATAAATCTCTCACATTTAAAATAAAATGTATTTAATGAATCCAAGACTTGATTTAAAACAGGGTATCTTTGCAAGGTCAGTTTATCAGTTTAGCTAAAAAAGAAACAAAATAAGAAACTCTGGTCACGTTGTGTCTCCTTCTTCTTCTTCTTCTTCTTCTTCTTCTTCTTCAGCTTGCTCCTCCGACTGCGTGCTGTGTGACGGCGTCGGACGCTGCGGCGCTTGTCGAGTCCAGACCTACCTGATGGAGGGTTACTGCACCCCCGACTGTGGACGCGGATTCTACGCCGACCAGAAGACCAGGACCTGCCACGGTAAGGACATCATGTCTTCATGGGTATTATTGTCCCAAAGCACAAAATGACTGCAATCACCAAGAGAGGGTCGACCGGGTTAGGATTATAGCTAATATTTGGTAAATACTTCTTAAAGCTGCAGTACTTCATTTAAAAGGGAATTACACAAACACTCAACTTCTTCTTATATCTGGACGCTTATTAGGAATTTCTGCCAAACTCTGTTGTTTCTTGAACCAATTTTAATGAGACATTTGTGCAGTTTTTAACAACACTTTGTGTAAACACGATGAGTCATTTACATTTACAAACACAACAGGGGGACTGAAGGTTGTGATGAAGTTAAGATAAAAGAGTTAATTGAATGTCTTGTGAAGCTAACAGTGTTCATACATTTCCACCGTGTGTGTGTATTCAAGTATAAAAGTCTCTCTCCACTTCCTGTTCCCTTGACTCCCGCCCGGCTGATGTGAAACGCATCCCGGTTAACTGCGACATACAAAGTGCTTTCGCCAAGATTATTCAGCATCGAACACTGTCGACTGTCCCGCCTCCAGACAAACCCCGTTAATAAGCCTCCAATATCCAGCATTAAGATATTCAATTATGTTCGATAACTCTGTCGGATTATCAGTTGGCTCCGAGCTCTTTATGGTGACAGCTCACATGCAGTAGGCTGGTTTTAGTAAAAGATAATTTCAATAAATAATTGTTTAAAAGTACTTGCGTTTATCGCTATAAAACACAAAGCCAAATACGTTTATGTTGCTGATGCACAATTTATCTGGAACAAGTAAACTTGTTTACTCATAAACTTTAGTTTTCTGTAATAATCTAGACTCCAATCGAAGAATCCCATTTGACTTTTTTGCGAACCTAACTTTCTGATCCCGCAGCAACGGCGTTTTTAGGGCGATGACATCATAAAATATGAATATATATATATATATATATATATATATATATATATATATATATATTGCAAAACTCGAGGCTTCATAACATCAGTTAAAAACTGCACAACAAGCTGACAGACATGTTATAGCCGACAGTGACCTCGTTGCCGACACGTTCAGCAGATACAGAGCTACACTGACCTCCATCGTCTCCACTCACTCCTGAGGCTACAAAAGATTTAGATTCAGAGAGATTGATTCTTTGTTGAAATAAGAATAAATCATAAATGAGCTTCAGACTTGCTCTTGCAGGTCAGAGAGAATTTATAAGACAAAAATGCAAGTTATTGAATAGTGACAGAAGTCAAAGTGTTTTGAATCTCTGCTCCGACTGCCAACATTAACGGCCCATTAGGAGTTCCCTGTTACCACAATACTAATTGCTTCTCCTGAATAACACTGAGAGGAGCATTGTCTGCAGAGGCAGGTCATTAGAGGAGTCTTGTACTTTTTATTTTTGGGGCTTTCATGTTCAAACAGTGATCGTTAACCTGCAGGCGGAGACGGCGAGGCCTTCAGGATCTCACTGTGGTCGTGAGATGATTCATGAGGTTTGACAGTGCATGATTGTAATAGAGAAATATATTATCTCGAGTCCCTTTGTGATAAACGCTTTCTTCTTGTGAAATAATGAATCAGCCTCTAGGCTTCAACTAATCCATTAGTTAATCCAGTGAAATAGCCTGAAACCAAATTACTTTTTGTTGTTGTTTCTTTTCTCTTTTTTTGGCTTTTTCATTTTTTGCCAACCGAGAAGAAAGAAAAGTTGAGAAACTTTTGTCCTTTTAAATTATAGACTTATTCTCATTTGTGAGTTTAATTGCGTGGCCGTAAGTTTTGAGGATTGCGAGTGCCTGTTGGCGTCGTTAGAGGAGAGATTACAAACGTGGCCTCTTAGAAGAGCTGATCTTTAAAAAGTTCCCCAACAAAGTCACTTCCAATTAAAGCCAACTTTTAAAATGCCACGCCAAGACCCAGACGCCTCGCTCGTATTTCACCAGCCGGCTCTGCCACACACACACACACACACACACACACACGCACACACACACGCACACACAGACTCACACACACAGACAGACAGACACACACACACATACACAGACAGACATACACACACACGCAGACAGACAGACACACACAGACACACACACCTTTTCCGTTTTTAATTTCACAACCTCGTCTCATCTCTACACCCACTCAGTCTGATCCAGCTGCAATTTTAATTGGATAAATTTAAGGCTTTTAAAATGCATTATAATGCATTCATTCGGTTTATTAGAGGCTCTATGTTGTTTCACTCTTGTGGAAGGTTTTACTTTAAATTATTATTACAAATTAATTAACTCATGAAACCGGTCAATTTTCTTTTCTTTAGTTGCATGAGACAACTGTACAGCTTTGAGTTCCAGTAATGATTTCTTATCTTATTGTTTTAACCGCGTAATCAAAGATAATTGGACATCTTATCCCAAAACAATTAGATCAAGAGAGTTAATTACAGTGAAACGTTCTAACCTGTAAACCTGTCATCAGTATTTCTCATCTTTCTTTCATGTATCATTGTGATAAAATCTCTTACGGTGTATTTGCTTTAATCTTGTTTATGACTTTGCGTGACACACAGGAATCATTGAAGTGTGATGTTTTGTTTGTGGTTCACCTGGAAGATCAAAAGCTTTTCAAGTTGCCTTTGAATGATTGTTCCTGAGATAGTTCATGTTCTTCTTCTCTCCCTCCTCCTCTCAGTGAACAGCCAGCCCCCGGCCCTCCGGGTCAACGGGTCCCTGCTGGTCCCCATCGGCGGCTTTGCCCCGCTGCCCCTCGCCCTGCTGCAGGCGACGGACCCCGACAGTCCGTCCGAGCGGCTGATCTTCCAGCTCGTCCGGGGCCCCGCTAACGGCCGGCTGGTCCTGTTCAGAGGGGAGGGAGGAGGAGAGGAGGGAGGGAAGGCCGGCCGAGACCTGACCGGGGACGACACCTTCACCTGGGCAGAGCTGAGATCCGGCCGGGTCCGGTTCAGACACCAAAAAGACAAAGCCAGGTCAGTGGATCCAATGTGTGTATGGAGGTGGAGAACGTTTTAAGGAAGATAAAGCACTCAAAGACTGTTCTATATGAGCTTGTGTTACGTGTAAAATTATGATTTAAATGTAAATGTTAAATTATTATAAACTGGAAAGTTATGCCGGGAAATTAAAGCACAAAACAAAGTATTATAACATTTCGGTCCTCCATGAGCCTCCAGAACACCTTCAGTCTTCTCATTTCCTCATTTCCTCATTTGCTGTTTTAATGATGGTGGTAGAAAATGTTATTTCATGCTGCCCTCAATCTAAATGGGTCAACGGGCATCAGCCAACCGTCTTTTACGACCTTCCTCCTGACCGTAATGGAAGAGGATGTGGGTGGATTTTCCAGTGAACGGGTTCCTCGACGTAGGTTTAACAGAGATTGGCATTCATTTAGATTGACAGCAGTTTTTTGGGGGAGTTTCCAGTGACGTAAATGCATAAATCTTTTATGCATTTTGGTGTTGAAGATCTTTCGGTCGATCATGTTTTCAGCGTGCGAGAGTTGCCCGATCTGATCTGACCAGTACAAAAACCATCTGCAGTTCAATCCCATCTTACTGCCACAGATCAAATGAAAGCTTTAACTGGGGCCCATTAATCTTGATAGTGCTCCATAAAAGTGATCCTGGTAATGATCTACAAATAAATTGGGATATTAAAAATAACACACTTTGTCCTGAGGGAGTCATAAGCACATAGAGACGTTTTAATTGATCTAAGATTGTTCACGGAACTGTGTCGACTGTTTTCAATGCGTCCGTCTGCTACACTGTAGAGCAATGAATCACAGCAGCTCCTTTGATGTGCGTATCAGCACCGAGGTTTCCGTGGATATTTCGCAACAGCCCGGTGCTTGTTGTACAAAGTTTAACCAGCGGATCTGCCTCGCCTACTTGTGGCTCACCAGAAAGCAGCATCACTCCAATTAGAGAGTGCAGATGAAACAGTACCTGATGCCTTCAGGTAGCTGTCACGGATGAATCGTTATCCTGCCTCGCTGGCATTGATGCCATAATAGCAATAAAGTCAGCTGGTTGAAAACAATTTGTATACAACCGACGTATTCATGAGCCAGGACATGCAGGGCTTCCTCTAAGGAGGTCTGGTGATGGAATATAAAGAGCGATAAAAGTCTGCGTACGGAGGTCGAGATGGATGGATGTGTCCAGACTGGTCTCATCCATCATTCGTAGCTAAACCTACGAAAAATAATGCGCTGTGATTTGTAGATATTCCATGAAATAATTTTGTAGGTTATGCACCTAATCGTGAACGAGGACTTAGTTAGACCGCAAAAACACATACAGGGTGGCCGGGAGGAGAGGTGGATGGGCCCAACAAAACAGTCATCTAAGTATTTCACGATCTTTTCCGGAACCTAACTAAGTATTTCACGATCTTTTCCTGAACCTAACTAAGTATTTCACGATCTTTTCCTAAACCTAACTAAGTTGTTCGTTTGCCTAAACCTAACTATTGTTTCCTGTGAAGACGGAAGTTTATTTTGAAGTCAGTGTAGCTGGTTTTCGTGTCACTTAAAAGACGAGAAGTAATTTTTCGTAAGATATCATATGAACCATTGTTTGAGGATAGTATGATTAGCCAAACAAACACAGGACTTTCACCCAGGAGACCACTGTTTGTGTCCCGTATTAAAAAGTTAATTAACATTCTTAAAAAAAAATGTATGTTAAGAGTACATAACATACATACTTAATTCAACCCAAACCACAGTCTTTTCCTTAACCTAACCAAGTCATTTTGTTGCCTAAACACAGGTGCAACAATCCTCGTATGAGGATACGTTTCACACAGCGAGTCACCAAGATTGACAAACCAGGTGCAGGCGAGAAAAATAACCTCCGTGTTCCTCATGAAAAACGACAGTGAGCTCATGCAACACTGCAAATCCCTCAAAAGCAAAAGAGACAGAGAGAGACAGACAAAAGACAGAAAGTACACACTTGTGGTGAAGCAAGAGAGGAAGATTACGTATGCGGACAGGAGGAGAGAAGTGAAACTGACACTTCATTTGGTAATTTTGTGGTAATTGTGTGAAATTCGTGAAAGTGTACGACAGTACACCAGAGAGTAACGTGTGTCGGCTGTCTCATGAATGGGTCGGACGCTGGTTGATCGTCCTTCAGCAGACTCGTGTCTTACTCACGTCACTCAGAATCTCCCTGTCGGGAGGTCAGGATGATTTTACATCATTTTCATACTCATCAAGCCTTCCAGTGAGCCCTCGCTCCCTGTATGGAAGAAAGTACACTCATTATGCTTCCCCACGTATTTATTCATGTTTTCCTTTAATTAGTCTCCTGTCTGTAAAGCAATAGAAAGATGTTCTGTCCAGTTAGCACCCAACACTTTAAAATGTATCTGGTATTGAAATTAATTTCTCCTTTTGTTGCCCAAGTGTGACTCACGCCATGTCTCCTTTTAAGTTGACATGAAGACACCTTGTCTCCGTCCTCTCCATCCTCGAGCATCCTGACATTTCATCTTCCCTGCTATTCTTATTGGCCCATCTGTCTGTTGTCTTTTTTAAATTCATGCAGCTTCCTGCTTGGAAAGTTCATTTCCATTAACCCACACACGTCCCGGAGATGCATCACATTTACACTTCCCTCTTTTAATGTGGAAGAATTTGCATTTGTTCTGCATTTTATTCTGCCGTATCTGACAGTGTGATTAGCCAGTGTGAGTTTCAGTGCCATAGATCAAAGAGGCCGCTAATATGTAAAGAAAGAATTCATGCCGCCTCTTTAGAGCTCAGCCTGGAGACAGTTTTCCTCACTATAGCTGGTCTGCTTTGGCTTTTTCCTGCAACAAATCAGTTTGAGTTTGGGTTCAATGTCCGTACAGCCAATCGGAATCGACACGTTGAACAGATAATTCAGTCCTGACTCAGCTGGTCTGGCCTCGGACGGAGGCAAGCCAGTGAATTAGCAAAATGTGGTCCACTGCCCAGTTCTGAGCCATTAGATTAATGGAGACAATAACACGTAAAGCCCCAAATAGGATTTAATCTGCATATTATAGCCATATTTGTCAAATTATGTGGAGTGGGGGATAATGGCTGCAGTCACAGAGACACAAACAAATGCTCTCAGGTTTGATTCCCTTTAGAGTCCAGCAGAGGAAGACATGTTGTCACACACTACAAGTCACTACAGAAAGGTTTTAGGGACAGATCTTTATTATAGTGCATTTTGAGATTAAAGTTGAAGTGTCAAGAATAAGGTTAAACTGTCGGTATTTAAAAAAAAATATATATATATTATGTTTTGTTTTATTTTAAGATGAAGTCAAAATGTTTATAATGAAGAGAAAACGGTTTGGAATAAAGTTGCACTGAGAATAATGCAATTGAGCATTTCAAAGAATAAAATTTCGACTTTATTCTCAAAAAAGCAATAATAAAAAACATCTTTCTCCTCATGTTTCCATTATGTGCGGCCCTGACCCTCATATGAAAGTCTCTGCGGATAAAAGAGAAGCAGAATATATAGTCGGCAGCTGTGGTGGGCTGCTTAAGATGAGCTAAATTCTATCACTTGTCAAAAGAAGGTATTTTCAATCTTCACTGCCTCAGCAGAACATGTCAAGTGTCAAGTCACAGACTGAGTAGTATGTGTTAAGTGGCGCACTTTACTATTGAGAAGTATTTAAACACATATACACACAGCACACAGATTAAAAGATGCTCCATTTTTGTCTCAAGGCTGCATTAAAAAAGAAATCCGTCTTTCTACTTATATGAATGCAGCAAATATACCAGTCACATAAATTACCTGAGCATAAAAAGAGATTCAGGGACACGGTGTCAGAAATATGTTACTTTAACAAGCTGTCCAATATTTCTTTAATGGTCCAGAATTATTGTAACCATAACAAATGCTGTAAAGCTGTGACCAGTCTCACCTTTGTTGCAAGAAATTGTTTTATCTTTGTTGAAAGGCGCTGTGAGAATGTGCTCTGTGAAGGATGAATTTTAAAGATGAACATGGTGACAAATGACACCAGCAACACCGCGAGCCTCAAGAACAGCTTCAGTGCTCCGTGTCATACATTCTCCAAGTCGCTGAATGAGAGAATGAACACAATTTTATAAAAGATATCACCTGAAAACTATTCAGAAAGCCCTCACATTCTCTATTACAGCATCATCATCCATTGAGGTCTTATCTGTAATCGTTTACCTGCTAATTCAACATGACATCGTCAATTAATTATGCCACAGGAAACAGTTAAACATTAAATCATGACAGTATTTCACTTTATAGAATTTGCTTCATAAGTGAACAGCTAAAAATACTGTATATGTACTCTTTATGCACCACACCAGTGGTGGATCGCATTTAGGTATTTAAGTACTTTACAATTTTGAGATACTTGTACTTTACGTGAGTATCCATTTTTTGCTAATTTATAGTTCTACTCCACTACATTTATTTGACAACATCTTGTACGTCAACCCAGTCACCAGAATAAATGTTGGTATTGTATGTTTTTGCAAACCAAGTGATGTCCACAAAACGTGGTTAAGGTTAGAAAAAACATCATGGTTTGGGATTTTCTTCTAATAATGTTACAATGTAACAACCTAACAACATCGTAACAATGTAACTTAACAACGTAACTTAACAACGTAACTTAACAACGTAACTTAACAATGTAACGTAACAATGTAACTTAACAACGTAACTTAATAATGTAACGTAACAATGTAACGTAACAATGTAAC